AATTGTTAATATATTTGAGTAGGTACTTTACTAAATCTTACTTTCAGTAACGGTTCTGTATCTCAAGTATTCAAGATAGCCAGAAATGCTTCAAAAATAAACGGATATCGCTACTTCTTTTCAACTCTAAAGTTATCGAAACATGTATGAACAATAGATTCATCACTCAAACATCAAGATTCTCCATTCTACCAGTTTCAAAAGACATTTGAAAAATGTTATTCTCAGTCAAATATTTTTTTTTATATTTTGGAATAAATTAAATAAAAATACAAATATATAAGAAATATATCAAACTGTTTATTGTTTTAAAAATTAGACAATGTTTTTTTTTAAATACACTGTTTTCTCATAAAAAAACAATTATTCATCTACTAATCTTCATTATTCCTATTAAAATTCTTTTATTTCTCCTAATCCAGATCGCAAGTATTTGAATCGCAGTCATCGATATCGCTATTAGGGTTAATTATAATAAAAATAATTTCCAATCTATTAAAAACTCCCTCTCTGCCAATATGTTTATTATAATATTGCTTAGAAAGGTCACAAATAAGTTCAATGGGGTTAAAAATACAATGGCAGGGAAGATTATGTAATACTTTGTCTATATTGTTCTGCTTAGGTAATTATCTACCATATATTTCTTTGGCGGTTTGCACCTGAAAAAAGAATGTTTTATTTATTTCTATTTATTTGCTATTTCGTATAACGTGTGTCAATATCGCTATATTCTAAATTGTAATATCAAAACAACACATTATATCGATGATTTAATGTTAGGTACACCGTTATATCAAATCTTGTAACCTCATTTTTAATTTTTTGATATTGTTTTAAAGTTTATTTCTGAAAAAAAGAGGCATTTTTGGGTTTCACTGTACATCTTGAAAATGTGCAAAACATGTAGATGTTTATTGACCACTGTAATCAAATTTTTCCAATTAAATTGTCTTTATATGATTGCTAGAATAGCGTATCTACCATTAAATCTTCAATATGATGTGTCATTTCAATATTAATAATTTTTTTTATTTGTTTTACACAATTACTGATACCTTAATTTACTTCAAATTTGGTGTTTTATCTCTTGCCATCGATATTTGTAGGTCTAACACCCTTTGTCATTATTCCCAGGAGCTGTTTATTGTTTCATTTTGAACGATACATGTTTCATCAATGACAACGAACTGCTTCTGTTGTAATTCTATAATTTCTTAAAAACTGACTTATTTACAGTTCACGTCTTGGTTATCTTTTTTCCTTCATTCTTTTAATACAGTTGACAATGATGCAATATAGCCATTAAACATTTGTCTCTCAATCAACTTTTCTCTTAAAGGTTCCAAAATTATATGTTGACCTGCAAATAAGTATGTATTTATATTACTGTATACAAATTAAAACTTTTATAGGTAATATAAATAAATTATGATTGAATAAATAGATTTGTCTTTATACTTACTTGTTTCATACATATTATAAATACCACTTCGGATTCCACTTGTATCCAGTGTTATTGTATTAGTAGGTAATCCTTTGTTTATATGCATGCTTTTTAATTAGCGATTTTAATCATTCATTATTCTTGACTGCTTGCCAAATACTACTGACAGTAGAAATATTTTTATTTAGAGATGCTGCAACACACTAAAAAAGACAAGAAAATAATTTCATATTTCTATTAAATTTTATAACTTGTAACTTACCTCTCTTACAGCAGTTAAAGGTAAACGTGGTCCATCATTATCACGCTCTCATTCAAAATAATGGATTAAAGAAGCTATCAACTCCTTACAAGGACTATTTAGTTTTTTAGGCATTTTGTATAAAAAAATTAAACGACAAATAATCAGCTTATTCACTCTATGGTTGTTTTGAAAAACAGTTTTTTATAAGTATAACTGGCAAAGCTTAAAAATACAGGCAAAAGGATTTTAAATTACAGAAAACAAAACGCACAATCAATAATTAACTCAACATAAACATAACCTAACTAAATCAGTGAAATTTTTTAAAAAGGGGTTGCAACACCGCAACAAGGTGTACCAATTGCTGTAATGACATTCCTTCTCTATAAATACGAGCTTCATGGGCGTACAGAATGTCAAAATTATTTAATGTAAAGTATTATTTTTTGAGTACTAAACATTTAATAATATTTTTATAAATTTTATATTATCAAGAATTAGACATGTATAAACTAAATAATTTAAATAATTCTTAAAATTATCAACATAATCACCATAACAGTTTTCGACTTTTTAGTAATATGACTACGTTCATGAATGCTCGTGACTACACGTGACTTTTTCGGATTATTAGCTTAGTTGGGGACATTTTAATTAGTTGGTAGTACTATGACGAATGACCGACGTCATTGCTGACGTGCATCGGGATTTGTATTTAAAATACTATATATACCTTGACGTAGCCCAAGCATTTGAAAATGTTTGGAACGCTGGCCTGATATAGAAACTTAAAAAAAATGCTCCCTAGACAATATGTAGACATTCTTCAATCATATCTAACATGAAGAATGTTTAGAGTAAAGCAAGAGGAGGTGTACTCCGAAATGAAACAAATGGAAGCAGTTCTCCCACAGGAAAGTGTACCAGGACCGGTCCTTTACTTATTATAAATCAACAATATCCCCCAACAACAATGTGTAAAAGTAGCAATAGTTAGAAAAACTCCAGGAAACCTACAACATAATCAATCGATGGATTAAAAGTGGAAAATAAAAATAAATCGAACTGAATTAGTGAATGTTGATTTTACTCTTTGACAATGAACCAAAACAAATAAGAAATAACAATGATATTACTCCGCATCACAATTCAACAAAATATCTAGAAATGAACCTAGATGTACGACTTAACTGAAAAGAGCAGATAAAAAAGCGTTAAACCCTTGAATTTAAATTAAAAAAAAATGTATTGGCTCCTAGGGACAAAATACAAGTTGTCAATGTATAATAAACTGCTGATTTAAAAACAAATCCATTTTATCTTACAATGTCACCAGACCTACGTTATAGTATGAACACCATTGAAAATGTAGGGCAATTATTGATTGGACATTGAATATTTGGACAAAATTGTTGGCAAAGAAATCTTACATTTTTATAATTTACATTATTTGAATAAACACAAGTAGTTATTTCAAATATGCTTTGAAATAAAATATGAATTAATGTATGCTTACGGTCACTTAATTTGATTAAAATTCTCTCTATATGCAACTGATGTTACTCCTATTGTACTGTTAGTTGCATAACTAAGTTGTCCGCGTCGGCAAAACTCGATTGGGGGAATTGAACAATGTGCATTGTTTAAAAAACGAAGACTGGGAACTCGTTAACGAACGATATAATAAAATACTAATCAAAAGTTGAAAGGACTGGAAGTGAACGCGTTTCCGAGGTCCACATCTGCATAAATTAGCGCCATAATTATTATCTCTGATATATGATCATTTCAGGAATGGGAACCGCGTTTTGCACTGCTTAGTAATTAGCTATTTCGTCGTGTCTACTTTCACGCTAGCGTGAACCGAATTTACTAATTATCCTTCCACGCGATTACGTCACTCATATTTGTGGTAAGTTTTATTCACTTGAAATCCTTTAAAATAAACAAGTTTTGTACTCACAACTGCACTGTATAGCGCAATTGGTCTAATAACTTGCGACACTTATTAAAAGTTGGTTTGCTTTCAATAGGTGGTTCGGAGTTCTGGTACATTTGTTCACCTTTATGTTGGGATAGTTTCCCGAAAAATCAAAAAGAACTTTCATGAGATGGAGAAGTAGGTACTCATTGTTCTATTTTTTTTTTAATAGAATGATATAGGAAAAATATTAACTTGTAGTAGACTATATATTATGTCGTAATATATGAAAACTCTTTTTGGTTCGGTAGAATTGGCATCCTCGTCACAAGGTTGAGGAAGTTAATCATTTATCGATTATTTTCTGTGTTTGGCCGTGTTACCTTCAAAATGCTCCGTCAACGTAGTCCGAGTGTCTGATGAACAGCCCTTGCCCCGGTTTCGATCTGAGTAGAGAAGGCATGGTCCGTTTTGTCCGTTAAGATTCATAGTATTCAAATGCGGACGCCAGACCGATAAATATGCTTTCTTGACCCTAACCTAAATCGATCAAACAATAGGAACGAAATGAGACAACGAAAACTACTGCTTATATCATTTAATAGGTTGTTAAACCTTTCCCTGTAGTAAAAATTAACAATGTGCCCCAGACTTTATGGTAACACATCCACGGTAAAAACTCCTAACATAAAATATCAGTAGTCACAATTTTCCATAATTATGTGACGTTATAGCATACAAGTATTTTTTTATATACACAGTATGTCCCTTGGACAAAAAGAAAAGAAGAAATGTATAGGTATATATTTAGTCGGTTATGACAAAAATAAAAGTAAATGTAACTAAAATCAATATCCCTAGGACAAAAATCAAATCTTTGTTAGGGCAAATAATCCCCTGCCGCAAGAGTAAGTAAAACTAATTATAACAGGGTCAATGTGCTGGTACCAGTGCTTAGACTGTAAGTGCTATCTGCATAGTGTATCGTATAGAAAAAGTTTATAAAACCCGATTAAAATATCACCTGATTTCAGTCGTAAACTGTTGTGAAAAAGAAAAGTGGTTATAGCATACTCACCTGAATTAATCCAGAACTTCTTTAATGAGATTTTCCTAAAGTGTCATGCATTTTTGAATAGTCTCCTATTTTTTCGTTGCTTTTCAGGGTTTCGTCATACTTTGGGTTGTGGTTTTGCTGTCGTAGCATAACTCGTACCAGGAACAGTGTAAGTTCCTCGGTAATTAGCTGGGTGCAGTCCATGCAGTTTGAATAAGACGCCTTAGTCCACTTTGGTAATGAACATTCCTTTGGTCGGTGGTCTTCTCTGCATCTAACACATTTGATATTCATTTTGTAATTTGACTGTTTGTGGTGAAAATCCTGGCATCTATAACAATGGGTTAGTCCAATTGGTGCTCTTAATGGTTCTGCCTTGGCATTTATTGAATTCCTTAATAAGGTAATTTTCTTGTGGTTTAACGTCAACAAGAAACAGCGGCAGTTTTCTTCTGTCTCTTCTTGATATCATCCCCTGTACATTAATTGCGGTAAGTCCAAAGTTCGCCAGTTCCTCAATGATTTCGATTAGCAGCGTGTGTTCCGGTAAACCTCGTATAAACGCTTTATACGGTGCGTCTTGCTCCAGTTTATTACAGTAGAACTGTAGTAGTTTTTCTGTGGTCGATTGAGGTTGGTGAGCCATATTTTCACTCAATCGTTTCGGTATACTGCTTTTCCGATTGATTCTCTGCTCTGTTAGTTCCGTCATTACTTCAGTCCAGCTCCTGGCATTAGTTGAATTGGTGGAGTTTTATGTGTCTTCGTTTGGGTTTGTTGTTGGGTTTCGTCAGGTTGTCTTCGGTCTCCTCTTGCGGTTTGCTTTGAAAGTCTTTTTTTTACTGTTCTGGCAGTCCATCTTCTTCCTTCAGTTATATTTTCCTCTTCATTTTCTTTTCTTCGTCTTTTTTTCTATCGTCTGAGATTTCTGAATTTCGTTGACTAAAAAATCCATAGCTGCAGATTCCGATGCTTCGAGCTTTGATTTTCGATGATTCTTGCGTTAAAGGTATATGATGCGAACTTGCCTGCCACATTTCTATCATCTACTTCGCTTTTACTATGTTTTTGAGGACCATATGTCGTCGCTAATTGTAACTTTAGGGCGATCTCGCCAAAATCTCCTTTAGTTTTATACGATTTGGGCGATTTCAGTGTATAAAATTTCCTATATCTCAAAAAATTTCTAGTTGATCGTTTAAATGACCTTTTTTCTTGGAGAGCTATTTACTTTATTTTTGATCGATCTTTTTTTTGGGCCTCTCTTCTTGTCTTTTGATCCACAAGCTGTTGCGTTTGTATATCGAAGCGACAAAGTGATTTCGGTGATGATTTCGACTGATTTTCAAGAGAATTCGTAGTGACTTCGGTGTCTTTAAGTGAAAACGTACCAGTATTTCAGGAGTGGTTCATTCCTCAGTTTAAACCTTAAGGTACTTTTACATCTGACATTTATTGCATGAGATTTATGTCTGACAGTTTAGTCTAGTGTAAACATACAAAAATTTCTCTTCGAGATATATGTTTGAGTGTTTACACTGGACTAAACAACTGTCAGACATAAATCTCATGCAATAAATGTCAGATGTAAACGTACCTTTAGTGGTATTTTTTATAACGATATATGAGCCATTCAAAGAAGTAGGTTAGTCACAAAATTATGAAACTAATTTAAATGTAATCCAAAAAACTATTTATAATTAATTAGTGTTAAAAAAATAACAACCTATTAAGTTTTCTATTATGATCAAAATTGTACAAAGTAAAGCTATATATATATATATATATATATATATATATATATATATATATAAGCTTTATTTAGAGCCCCTTTAGCAATACAGGAAATATTTTTACTATTTTAAACAACTACCTTCGCAGAGGCTGATGTTTTTGCATGTGTTATTTTGCCGCAGTTATTGTGCTTAACTCTTAATGCACAATTACAGAATTTTATAGCATAGCAGTGACGAACTGAGACCCGACGTCTGCTAATAAGCTCCAACATTTTATAGCTTATATCCCTTGGTAGTTTATTAATTATTACACCATAATTTCAAAGACGTTTTCAAGATGCCGGTGTACTCGTGCCATGGAGATAAAATATTCGTAATCTCGTCAATGCGCTACAGTGAGAATCAACATTATATTATTAAATCAGCAAAGAAATTTTTTTTCCTGCAACTTTTTTTGCCATTAAATCATTTTCAGTGCTTATCTACAATAAATATGAGTGTTAATATAAAATAATTTGAAGGTTACATTTAAACAAAAAAATTTTTACAACTTACAATTAAACTACAGTTATAAGAAAATCCATGCTGACAGGCACTGACCACTAAAAGGGAAACCCAGAAGAAAAGTTTGTGTGGGGGTAAGAAATGCTGACTATACCAATGCTGCCAACATGAATTATGTTTATGTTTAAAAAAAATATTAAAAAAGAAGAAAGTGTTAACATTATGAATATACAACTTTTTTAAATCTTCAAAATTGAATAACTAGAAATGAAACTAAAGGTACATACTGTTGAGTTATGGAGGATTAAATAAATGTATTTAATCAGCGACTGTTTAATAAGTTTTCTATTTTACATCGTGGATCCGTTTAGCTGCCATATGACCAATCTGGGCTCCCCCGCCAAGGAGGTGAGATAACTGTTTAGTCGAACTTCACCATGTAGTATGCGGAAGCAGTGACATTATTAACCGAGGAAAAGCTCTTCCAAACTTCATTACTTCCATTAAACTAGAAATGGCAAACGTTGGAAATGAAGCAACCTTCGAAACAAATGTGAGGTAATAGATATAACCCTTGGTACACAACGGCCGTGTTCGTTGGTGGGGAATTGTCTCAAAAGAGGCGTCGTCACGACCATAGGTATATCCTGTTAAATCTGGGTATAGAAAGAAAAAGAAAATTCCTGGAAGAAATTCTGTGACGGCATTGAAAGCCTTCCAGAATGTTTCAGACTCAGGAAAACTCTACAGAGGAGGAGACTTTAAATTTATTACTAACGTCACAATTTCCTGGATGTAAGATTATCCTTGACCAAGAGAACAGGAGTATCGAGGCCTTAATACCTAGGGCCTCAAAAACAAAATAGTCTCTTGCAAACACAATAGTAAACATTGGCGAAACATTTATTTCAACCATACAAGACAGATGGACCTGATGGTATAATCCCGGCACTTCTACAATCAAAGACAGAAAGTACTTGGAGGTCTGCAAGAGTTGACTTCATTCCCAAACCTGAGAAAGCATCTTACGCGGAGACCAAATATTTTAGGTTAATCAACCTAACATCATTTTTCCTAAAAACATAGACTAGCTCAAAAAGCATTTAAGAGCAAAGAACTAGCACTAGGAGTTTTCCTAGATGTAGAAAGAGTCTCTAATTCGACGTCATACAATTCAATATTCAGATCTATGCATAGGCGTCGAAAGATGATGTCTAAAAGAGAGATTGTCCACAAACTCGACGAAAACCTCTGTTGTTGCATTCACAAGAACAAGGAATCTTCAAGAAATAAAGGAGCTTTATACGTGGTGAGAACATTTATGTTTTATGGCAAAGGAGATGAAATATCTTGGAATTACTCTTGATGACAAGCTTGTCTTCTGCAGCCATATAGAAAAAACAACAGAAAAATATGTATAAGAATATTATGGGCCTGTAGACGGATGGTAGGGAACACATGGGGGCACAAACCAAGTATGGTGGCACTAGACTAAAAGCTAACAAAAAATTAGATAAGGTACAAAGACAAACAATAAGAGGGACATTAGGATTACGCCCACTGCAGCAATTGAGCTACTGCTAGATCTTCCTCCATTACACCATGTAGTGGAGAAGGAGGCTATGGCGGCAGCATACGCTGTTCACTAATAAATTTGGATGGGAACTTTCAATAAAAGGACACCATACAATGATATTAGAGAAATTAAAACAAAACCCGGTGTTAAGAATACCATCGGATAGAATAAATATTATTCATGATTTTAGGAAACCTTTCGATATTCAAATACCAGAAAGGGCCAAAAGCCGGGATAATAACGAAATACAAAACGAATCAATGTGGTATACAGATGGTTTGAAGATGAAAAACAGCACAGGAGCTGGAATTTACCATGTAAACTCAGGAAGGACCATTAGTGTGAACCTGGGGTAACAGCAATAAATGCCTGCACCAAAGTTATGCTAAATTACTGTTTAATCTTAGCAGAACCGAACTAAATTTGTAAATTTCTTAGGGATAGCTGATAACTCCCTATAAAAAATATGTGAAGAGGAAGACGAAACTCCTATTCACATGCCATTGTCGGAACCTTAGGTGAGAACGGGAACGGCACTTTGGGGTATAATATATGGAACCTAAAGAAATCGCGAAAGCGCCCATCAGACATATTCTTGAATTTCTTAAAAATATTAACCTGATGGTGTAGAAACTGTGAGGGGTACAATAAGCCTAGAGCTTTAGTGCGAGTGGGCTTTGAACCACACCCTAATTCAGATAGATAGATAGATTGTACGACGTGAATAAATTACCCTTGTGGCATCAATTTGACAAAACATCGAAATAAATCGGTGATTGACAATTGACATATGACAGAATTGAAATAAAATCAATTTATTATTTAGACATTAACAAATTTAAGGGTAAGATAAAAATTATATTTAACTCCCCCTCTCAATTTAAATGCAATAATACAATAACATGTAAAATAAAAGTTCTAATTCATTTAAATTGCACAAAGTTAATCTAAATATATCAAAATAAACTTTAACTTAAAATAATTTTATTAGGTTATTTAAAAAACTAAATTCTACTTTAGCAAACTTATTTTAAAGTTGTGGAACTTTTCCTTACATAGTGCTATTGTAAAGATGTCGGCACAGTTTTCACAGGAGTTTACTTATTCTATAAGAATTTCTTTCCAAAGTTCTTTCATGAAATGATATTTAATTTCAATGTGTTTATTACATTTAGAGTTCTCAAAATACTTAACTACCGATATAGCACTAAGATTGTCAATTTTTAACATAACAGATTCGTTCAAACTCATCAAATTCTGACGAAATTTCTTTTAGATTAACAAGTTCTTATGCTGCGGTTCCAGCAGACACATATTATGCCTCCGTCGATGATATTGATACACGATTTTGTTATCTAGAATGCCAAGCTATTGAATTGTTGGCACGAAAACATATAAATCAGCTTACGCTTGCAAAAATGTCTATCACCACCCTAAGCCGCGTCACAAATGGTTTCTAAACCAAAGTTACTTTTTCCATATATCAAACTATAGTCTTTTGCAGCATTAAGGTAGAGAAGATTTTTTTCTAGGCTTTCAAAGTTGGTTTATCCAAGTATCTACTCAGGTACGGAACACCGAAACACTAAAGGCAATATCTGGTCACGAAGTAACCGACAGATACATTGGGCTATAGGCATATAAGGCACATTACAATTTATTCCTTACTCATCAATGGAAAATTCTTTTAATAAACCACAAATCATTTTAGTTTACTTATATCATTTATCCCATGCCAATATTCTAAAGGAGTTTTGCCTCTTGGTGGGGCAGAAGTTGGAGTTCTATTCAATTCATATGCTGAGCCTTTATTGCTTCGCCCCACAACATCTTAGGTTTATTTGAATCAATAATTTTGGTTCCTACCATGTTAGTTAGTGTGTGATTTATTCTTTC